AAAAAAAAAAAAAAAAAAAAAAAAAAAAAAAAAAAAAAAAAAAAAAAAAAAATTGTTTTAAATTCTTTTAGAGCTCAAGAAATAAAAATAGACAGTTTGGAAGAGTTGTTAGACAGAAATAAACTTGAAATTTTTTAAATCAAAATGAGATTCAAACAGAAGAATTTAGTAAAGTACAGGTTTTGAACCTTAGGAGCAAAGTTTTATCCACCAGCCGTGCTTGAACGCCCTATTAATGCATACAAATAAGGTATCAGATGACTAATTTGAACTGTCCAAATGAATTTAGAAAGCTAATAACCTCGTAGAAATCGGGAGATGCCTGCTTTAAAATTCAGTTGAGGGATATACTGTATTCACGAGCAAGACATTGGCTGAGACCTCGAAAACTCACAGATCTACAAATACGATGGGATAAAATAAGGATTGGAGAGTTAAATGTATTCCAAGAGAATATAACAGACGTGTACATAAACAAGAAAACTCACAGATTTTAGAGTAACTTTCAGCTCAATGGCGAGGCTTCTCTAAAGTAACTTCAGAGTTGAAGAATACCATTCATCACAAGACTCTGAAGCCTCTCTTTCCTAAACGTGTGGATTAAAACAAAAAATACTTCCCTGAAGTTTTGATTCTTAGTAGAGGTCAGCAAGCTATACACTTGATTGGTTAGTCTATGAATTCTACTAGTTGAAGTGTCCAACAGCATCATAAAGGTTTAGAAAAAAACATGATACAATGCTTACCAAGGCTTCCAAAATTTCCTCAACAGTGTCGTGGCTAAAACACCTAGCTGTTGCATCGAGCCCGTGGAACAAGAAAGGCTTGGAAAGTGATAAAGATCTAGAAGAAAAGAAAGAACACTTAAATCGTAATAAGCCACAATCATTTGTGTGTGTGAGATGAATTCTATCATACGGTTGTTAAAATCTAGTGTGCTAGTTGATGATTTATGTCGAAGCTCACTATTTAATTCAGCCGACTGTTCTCGTAGCATAGCGTTGTTAATACTGCCCCAGGAAGTACAAATTCTCAAAAGTAAAATCAACTTCCAGCAATTTCTTTTGTATTAAGTTTAACATACGTAGAGGCTAGGACTTAATCTAAACAAAGAGGAAGGTGTAGAAGAAAGAACAGTACTTGGAAAGAACGCTCCTGTTATCAGGAGCCTGAACTGGCGAAACGAGGTCACTTTCGGAGTATAGACAAGATCACCGAATGCAGCAAGAGATGATTCTATGACAGAAGGGTCATCGGTTATCATTTTACCAAGGCGTTCTTCAATTCCACCAAGTCTCTGCCAAAGTCATAGATTGATCATTACAAGCCATGAATGAATGAGAATGAGAAATAAAAAAGAATGAAGGAACAGAAAACTAACGGCATTGAGCGAATAGTGTCTAACAGAAGAATAAGAACTTCCACTTAACCACACAGCTTTACCACATTGATGACGTTCAATTTCCTTCATAATTTTTGGCTTTTTAATGCTTCAAGGGAAGCTAATATGAGAAATTTTAATTTTATATCTCTAGGTTTTATTCAGTTCGTGAAAAATGAATTCGCATATTGCACACCAAAGGAAAATACTTAGAAGTTAATTCTATAAGTTTTATCTTCCAAATGAACTAATTTGAGGCATCCAACTTAAAATGGAATCCAAAATTGTTGCCACGCCCGTAACTTAAATCAATTATTAATGTACTGTGTTCGATCGGGTTGTACATAGGATATGTAACTTTTAGTATTAAATAGAGGATTGTTACTCGGACAATTTTTGTAACTTTTCATCAATCAATGAAAAGTTCATTCCTGGTTTAGCTATCAAACATTTGTTGACAATCATCTAGTTCTATTAAATTTCTCTCTTTTCAAATATTTAAATTCATTTGTTCAAACATCATGTTATGATGGTGTGTAAAGAGCAATGTCAAATACGAATCATTTATATATCTAGATAGAAAAACATCACAAAGAGGTGATTGCAAAAATTGCACCTGTATTCACTTACAATTAGTTATATCAGTCACCACTCTGAACATTCCTGGAAGGGTAATCCCAGTCCCACCTCCCATCATGATACCGTCCAACAGAGCCACCTGATAAAAATAACAATTACAGGCTACAAAGTTTTATACACAGGATACTAAAGATCAGCAAATGCACTTACTAACTCTCTTTACCTCAACAGAATCATTAGGCCTGGAGAAAAAATATAAAGCACTGATGAGCTCCCTGTAGTCAATCTCTATACGGAACATCTCAACAGACAACATGAAGAGTTGTTACTTACATGTGGCTTCAAGTAAGTTCATTCAAGATACACAAATCTGTACAATGTCTCGAAGAACTTCTTGCAGTCTTTGATATTCCCTGTGCCCAAAAGGAAAAAGGAGTGAGTTGAGGCTCTAACTTATTTGCATGAGATAATGAATGTAAGATGATAAAAAAACCTGTTAGCCATTAGTGTGAAAACTATACAAATCAATGGACGTGGATTATTGTCTTAAAGAAGGACCAACCGAGGGAAAGATTTCTAGTGTGAACTGTCTAATTCACTAAGTTTAAATAACTTTCAATTGTAGTTTTCTCTATTTCATCCAACCAAACCGGTTGGGAACATTAAGCCATGATTTCTCTTCTTTATCCAAATAAAGAGTGGTGACAATGGCTTCCGAATCTAAAGTATTAAAAGTCGTCACATATTTCCTCCAAATTACTTGAACAATCCTTAGCACTCAAAAGTGTGTGACATGTAATGTTGATCTGTGAAGGGAGAGAATTAAAGACTTATTGTGAGGTTTCCTACGATAAAAAGGGAGATCCATTGAGTTCAATTTCTCCTTCCCTCTATCCCTCCAGGATTTTCCTCTCTAGTCTCAACATAGACAATGTGGAGGTTTTCCTCTTCATTCTATTTCTTGGAATATGAATTAGATCAAATTTTGAGATAAACGGATAAAGCAGAGGAGGTGTGGGAATGAGTGAAATCTTCTTACTTCATTTTGTCTAGTGGCCGCCTTTCTTACTTTTGGCCAGTTCAAGAATGCTTTCATGATTTCCCTAATATGCCATAGGTCCTGACTTCCAGTCATCTCTCCTCTCCATTTGCATCTTCTATCCTTTTCAATACATTTGTTTCATATTGAAAAGTTTGCTGAAATGACAATCATATAAGTTTCCCTAAGAAACTGATAACATTTACCATTCATAACGAGAACAAAATTAACATTAAACAAGTAATGCCAAAGCCTATCGATGCCTTCGCGGATTCTCAATGCTCCGTAGCTAAACAGAATAGTATAAAATTGCATGATCATATGAACGCCTTAACCAATGCGAATGACTAGTTTGTTAAGTTCCATTCGAAACATCAAAAAACCTCTCACCTTCATTTGAGAAATGATTAAGAGCGACAACATCTGCACCGGAGCAAAACGCCCTGCCACTAGCCTTCAAAAACACGAGCTAAACTTTCAATTAAGAGGTTTCTGACACTGGAAATATAACAATTAAATCGGAGAAAGTGCTCGACGTCGAACAGCCGTGAATGTACGCATAAATCAGTCCACGCCTTCATTAAGACAATTCCGATATCAGAATTTTCCTGCCACGATTCATACAGATTGTTCAGCGGGGCTACCTACGACAAATACATCTCGCAGTTGAACATTTTTCAATGTGGAGGCAATTATGAACCAAACCAGACAGAAAACTAATCTCACAACACAGAAAGGAAGCAAAGAATAAAAAATAGGAAAAGAACCATGGAAGTAGTGAGCATTGAGAGCCGATGGTCTATTGAGGATAGCTGCTCTAGACTTCGGTCCTCCTTTCACTGGAATCTAACGATCACATAAACACCTCTTCAGAAACAAAAACCGGTACCTGCACAGTAAGCTCCTCCACCGAAAATGAATCGAGTTTAGGAGAGAAAAAGCAGATAGAAAGAGGCGCATTTCGGCGTTTGATTGCTCGTTAACAAACTAAAAAAGAACTCCGAATACAAACCTGGTCGAAAACATCATCAGTTTGAGCATAGTTTGGTAGAGCAGAAAAGCCTCTCTTCAGGTTAGAAAAAGAGCTAAAACGCTGAAATGAAGATCTCCTCACAGCTTCCACTGCTTTCAATCTCTGCATCTCTCCCTATCTATCTGGAAATCGGTGTGAATTGTTCTACATTCCACAATCTTTGTTCTCGTCTCTGGTCATTCGAAGCTAAGAACAGACCTTCAAGTTTCAAGCGAAGTTCCGAAGCGCATACAATATTCGAGCGACTCGAGAAATCTTGCCCCCTGTTGCTGCCAAGCGCTCGTTCTTGATTCAGAGATTTTTGGGACCATCTGGTGTCTAGTTGGAGGGAAAATAACCCATTTCATTTGGCGCTGATTCCAGAGAAATGGGCCGAAGACTCCTTTGTGGTGAGGCCCAATTCCAAATATGCAATGGCCCAAAAATTTGGGAACCCGGTCCAGCATACGGCCCACGTGGATTTGATACCATTTTAGACATTTTTCTGATTATTAATTTTTTTTTGTTATTTATATAGCATACTTATTATTTTTTTAAACAAATCTATAACATAATTTTTTTGGTACCATAAAAAAATTTAGAGATTTAAATAAGAGTATACATTAATTACCTCTAAACGATGCTCACTTGAGCATATAACTTAAAATTTAATCTTACTTTTTATGATAAATACACAAAAATAGAAGAAATAAGTTCAAATTTTCTCAAGCTAAAAATAAATAAAATGTTTGCATGGTAATTAATGTCTTTTTTCCTTTCCATTTGTAGGTCCGTTCCTTTCCATTTTTTAGCTCGACAACATGTGAGAGAGATCCGAGCCTCTGGTATATATCTTAACGAATTGTAATATGTTGACGTTAGTAGACAATTTATTTTTGGAAGTAAGAGGATTCGTTAGGATGAAAATTTTAAAAAGTATTTTTAAGCACTTAGAAAGTCATTTCAAATCAACCCTAACTTTTTAAACGTTCAAATAACTCAAACTTGAGACAAATTAAAGAAGTTTTCAACTCTATTTGAGTACGAGTAACCTAAATAACACAGACTAACAATGTCATCCTTCAACACCAAATCTAAATTGGATTTGTAACACTAACAATCAAGTGAAGAGCTTGTTCCCTGCAGTTTCATCAAACCTTTCACTCAAGGGCAAATCAGCTGGAAAATGTAGGGCCGTCCTGTAGGGCTTCAACGGGGACAGTATAAGGAGAATTCCAGTCAGCGTCAAACACTTCTTGAAGCTGCTTAACAATAGCTGGGTTGTATGTTCCAAAGCTGACACCAGAGGTTACATAAAAGTAATCCCACGCAAGATTGCTTGTTCCTATGTGGGCTCTAACGTTACTAACTGCAAACTTTCCATGTTGAACTCTTGTAAAACTGGGATATGTATTGTTTGTTCTAGTTCCGTTCGGATAAAGTGCTGGTCCTGATCGGTTGTAACCGGGAACGACATAGTACTTGATCTCAACTTTTCCAAAACAATGATTGAATTTTGAAGAGTTGCAGAGGATGTTCGAGTAGAGAAGAGACTTGAGATATGGATCGGTGTTCTCGACAAAATGTGTCCAGTACGATACCAATAACTTGACGGTTGCATTTTTCGAGAAGATGACCTATCGGAATAAATGGTTTTTGTCAAGATTCAAAATCTAGAAAGCACGCCCTTTTCTACCAGGCTGTACAAAATAAACTCGGAATTGAAAGGGTTGTGGCTAGAGTGCAGAGGATACCATACGTGATATGAACCAAGACATCAATCATGTAATATAAACTTCAAGGAAGACGTGAAGATGATGTGCAAATTATCACAATATGTTGTAATTCATGCCACATTAAAGAAGAATCAAGTTTCATTTACTCTTCGATGGTTACAAGTTATGGCTTTTCCCGGATGGTCATAAAATATGAAAGTTACAACTCTTGAAGTGCCTTATGGAAGGTTACGAGTTTTAATTTTGAGGCTATATAAAGTCATATATGTTGTCTTTGAAAAGGGACTTGGAAAGTAAAAAGAATCATTCAAGTTTGACATGATCGATCTTGCTTGTATAGTGATTTGAATCTCAGCCAAGTGTTATTCTCTTGAGATATTTGATCAACAAGGTAATCCAAATTTTACTTTCCCTTAGAGTGATTCCTTATCATTAGGGCTAAGTGTTCTTACTTTTTTCTTTAGCCAAGGGCTAAGTTTCTTTGCAATTCTATGAGTCTAAATTGCATCTTTAGAATTATTCAAGCTTGACATGATCGATCTTGCTCGTATAGTGATTCAAATCTCAAACAAGTTTCTTACCTTGAGATATTTAATCAACAAGGTAATCTGAATCTTACTTCTCTTATAGTGATTCCTTATCATTAGGTGTCAGACCTTTCCTTTGGTGGATTCCTTGTCAATACGGCTTCACATCATTTCAATACTTGACATTAATAGTCTCAAGAATGCTTTAACCATTGCTTACTTTTGCGTTAAATGTTTAGTAAATATCAACAACCGCACGAAAAATGGCAGTACATCATAACATTAACCACATAAGCAGGCAAGTAAAGTCGAGCTAAAACTTACCTCTGATATTGCAGAAGACAAGGACGACCAGAAAATTGTTGGTGTGGTAAATTCAGACTGACCCAGCCAGTCCATGGTACTTATCCTAACAATTTCTCCACTGCTCACGGATTTAATTGTGTCCGACCATGCCTGTTCATCAGATTGGTACCTGCCAAATAATAACTGTGGACTGCAAATGATTTCAAAGTGGAGGATGAAATTAGTTATACTACATGAAAAACTAAATGTAAATGGAGCACTCACGGGAGCTATTGATACCGTTGAGTATCATTACCCTCCAAAAACTGTATCATCGGTTGGAAAAAAGGATAGTGAAAGAGATAAGAATAGATAGAATAATGAATGCTGCAGTGCTTTATTATTGTCTACTGACTTAATGCTTAGAGGGTTACACAATTCCCGTATTTATAGCTTATACACTGGACCAGTAATAGTAAATCATCGAAATCTAGAAAAATTCAAATCTACTAACAATCTCCTAAAATCTTGGTAGTTTGAATATTTGAATCATATCTCAACTACTCTGAATCATATCTTTAAAGTTGCAGATGTCAAGTACACAGCTTTTCTTTTGACAAGGCCTTCATAAATATGTCTGCTTTTAACCCATACAATGTCTGTCTCAACTTGTATACCTTTGTTTCTTTGTCTTCCTTTATGAATCCCTCTGGCGGTGTTACATAAACTTCTGGTAAATCTCCATAAAACTTTTCGTTTGGTAGGTCAACCATATCCCATGTTCCATCTTTCTTAACGGACTGCATCTCTACTGCCATGGCTTTCTTCCCGTCTTCTTTTTCAGTTGCTTCTTCATAATTCATAGGGTCTGAAACAGTAAGAGCAAATTGACATGATGCATATATGTCAGCTAAAGATTTATACTTCCTTTGAGGTGTCTCATCTGAAAGTTCTTCAAGAGAAGAATTGTTGTTCAGTGATGCTGAAGATGATGAATTTGACACACTTTGCGTTGCAGTGGAGGCACTAGGAGATGCACTGTAGTTGACCCTTGTCTCTTATAGAAAAACTTCAACTGTAATCTTTTGCTGCTTCTGTTCTTTACTCCAATCCTAACTCACGTTTTCATTAAATATTACATCCCTTCTAACTAAAATCTTTTCACTGATGAGGTTATAATTTATATGGTACAATAGCCAATGAAAATGCATTTTTCAGATTTTTCATCAAGCTTTTGACAAATTTGAGGATGTTTCAAAGCATAAGCAACACAACCAAAGATTCGTAAATGACTTACAGATGGTTTCCTTCTGTGCCATGCTTCATAAAGAGTTTGATTCATAACCGCCTTTGTTGGTGAGATGTGTAATAGATAAACAAATGTTGTTATGGCTTCTGCCCAAAATTGGTTTGGAAGTCTCCTTGCTTGTAACATACTTCTTGCCATCTCCACAATAGTTCTATTTTTTCGTTCAGCGATTCCATTTTATTCTGGAGTGTAGGAAGCTGTTAATTCCCTTTGGATATGAACTCGCGACCTCTGTCTGTTCAAAGAACTTTAATGCTGACTTATGTTGTAGAGAGTAAACCCAGCTCAGGCGACTATAATCATCAATGAATAGTAAAAAATATATACTCCCACCCAAGGACTTCGTTTGCATTGACCCACATAAATCAGCATGAATTAGTTCTAGACAATGTGAAGCTCTTCTAGCTTTTCTAATAGGAAAGGACTTCATAGTCTGCTTGCCATAAATGCATCCTTCACATAAATTAGTTGAGTCAATTCTTGGTAATCCGAAAACCATACCTTTATTCCTGAGTTTTTCAGGCCGTTCATATGAAGATGTCCATATCTGAGATGCCATAATGTTGAGTCATCTTTCGTGCTAACAGCAAGAGCAAAATCCTTCATGTTAGAAATATCAAGTGGAAACATCTTATTTGAAGTCATGGCAATTTGAACTTTATGGCTTGATTTCTTATGTGTAATGACACGTGTTGTCATTAAATGTGTTGTCATTAAATAGAACTGAATGTTTTTTAGTCATCAATTGTCCAACACTCAATAAATTATACCCTAAATCCCTCAACTTGAACATTATCTAATTGTTTTATCTTACCATGACTGGTTTCGACTTTCACTGTACATTTTCCCTCAACTTTCATCTCTATTGTGTTTCCAAGTTGCACCTTAATTTTTTGCGTCTCATCAAGCTCTTTGAATAAAGATTTGGTGCTTGTCATATGGTTCGAGCATCCATTATCAACAAACCATAAGTCACCCTTTTTTGGATTAGTATCCATGCACGCCATAAGCAGCTTTTCTTCTTCTTCTTCATTTTCTGCTGCAAAATTCATTCGTTGATTTTTATCAGATTTTGTGTGCCCATACCTTCTGCAATGGTAACATTGTATGACATTCTTTTGTTCATTGAATTGTCTATGTCCATCACTTCTCCATCTACCCCTGTTATCACGACCACCATGGAAGCTGCGAAATCCTCCTCTTCCATGACTTCTACCTGCTAAATGAATATTTTCTCTCTCGTTGTTGGTTGTCTCCTTCACCTGTAGTGCCTTTTCTTCGTTCCTTTCTGATGCTCTATTGATTCTTGCCTCATGGGCCTGAAGCGAGCCCATCAATTCATCAACGAAGAGTATGGATAGATCCTTAGCTTCTTCTATGGCAGCCACCACATAGTCAAACTTTGAAGTCAAGCTTCTCAACACCTTTGCAACAATTGTTTCGTTTGAAATTTTGTCTCCATAGGTACGCATCTGACTGACTATTGTCATTGCTCTTGACAAAAAATCAGCAATTGATTCG